CTTATTTTAGCGTAGATACTATTAAATAAACTCAAAGTCAAACTCAAAAGCATTTATTTTAATTAAACCATAATTTAGTACTTTCGAAACGTCAACAAATATGAAATAAATAATAGTCTGTCAGTCTGTCCGTCAGTGAAGCTAGGCGCTAATTTAGTATAAGCATTTCTATCAAGTTTTTTTTCTATTTAGAAAACAAGACAGAAAATCCGGAGCCTTTATTAATGTTATCATATATGACAAGACAAAGAAATTCCCAGATACTTTATTAATATTCGCACATAAATTAAGATTTAACTCAACCAAACAAATTGGGTGTTCATCATTAATGAGACATAAACAGACAAACACCCTCTTTTACCCAATATAACAGGCAATTAGCGGTCTTGACAAATAACTACGAATATAGGGCGAAATCCAAATTAATACAAAACACAACTAATATAAAACCTTCCACCCAAGATGATACAGTTCAATTTTCATTTTTATTACCTAAAGGCAACAAAAATGAATTAAAAGACAAATCGCATTGGATATGAAACCTTCTTACAGAGAAATTATAGTTCAATTTTATACTTGGTTGCGTTAGAAGGAATTAAAATACGATGCAGTCAAGAAAAGTTGCCTGTTTTCTATAATGACGTCATTAAAAGGTATGACAATGTCCAGACAAGGATAATCTGGGATATTCTCAAAGAATGTAACAATGAACAATATGAATTATGTAAGGAGACGCCCTGTTTATATTGACTAAGGATTAGATATTAACAAGTTGACATTAAGACGGCCCGAAATAGGGATTTGAGAAAAGTTTCATAATGAGGTATCTAATTTTGAGATTGTAGTTTTTACCCGACCTCAAAATCAAAAAGGAGGTTCGCAGTTTGTTCTATGTATGTATTTATGAATATATATGTATGTATTTATGTTTGGGCGTGATTAACTCGCGACTGGCTGAACTGATTTTGATGCGGGTTTCATAAAAGTGTTAGTTACACTTACAAGAATTTGTTTTTAGAATCTTTGCTTCAATTTCAAAGATTCGTTTGTATAATTAATAAATCTTAAAAAAATATTAAGAAACTCATATAGATTACTACTAGTACTTACGTTTAATTCTCCACTGAGTACCTTTTACAGCTTTTAGTTTTGGTATTCAACCTTTAACAGTTTCTTATAATAGTTTATTGTATTCTATTTTATAATTTATTGATAGGTTTGTGTCATAATTTCGAAGCGTCTTCCTTCAGTTCCATACTATAAATTTCTATTTTATTAACAGTTTTGGTATTATTTTAACTGAAATAGTAATTTTGAAGCAATACGGAATATTCTTAGCAGTACGTAAGTAAGAAGTATAGGGATGACAAAAACAGTTACCTAGCTATCATTTCATAATGTATTTTAAAGATCAGACGACAACATAAAACCATGGGGAAGCACTATAAAGTTAATAATGACAAGATATTAATTTTTATTACAGACTTACTTAGTGAAAATTCTAGAAATATTTGCAAGATATTTACAGAGTTAGTGCACGATTCGCCATATTACTTACTGAGCGAAATTGACGATTCTTATTGCATAGAAGGTTTAATAAACTATGTAATGGTCTTGTCGCAGACATTCCATCTGTAAAGAGTAAGGAGCACTAAAAATTTAATATCCTTTCGCATTCTTACAAAATATCTTCGAATATGGTCGTTAAAGTGCAACCCCCGATTCGCGAGGGTGGTTATTATTCATTTTTCTCCAGTCAAATTCAGTGTAGGGTTCACTAATGTGCCACTCTAAAGTCAACCCCTACGAGGTTTTCGCGACCATGTTTTTTCCCGTAGAAGTTTTTTGTTTGTTTCCCGTCCCACTCTTTCGTGTGCAAAGTATATTTTTCTCTCTTTCCCTCTATCATACTGCGTGGGGTGGCAACAGCGAAATTATGATACGTTTTTTTGGGGCTTAAATTGATTTTTCGGAAGTATGTGGAAGCCATTTTATGGCGGTTTTCATATGATACGACATTTTGTTGTTTAATAAAGTTCTGGACTGTAGTTTTGTATTTTTTGTTAAACAGACAGTTGGAATGGCTGACTTTTTTTGTATGAATGTGCGTAATTTCCCTGCCTTGTGAAGTATTTTAATACAATACCTATTGTTTAAATCTATGGTATCGTTCACACATCGCCTTTGTCTCTTCCAAGTAGTTTGAGCGTATCGTCGAAAGATAACTATAGATAAGCTTAACACTTTTCCTATTTTAATTTAATTGTGTGTTATTCAAAAACGTTTCGTATAAGGGCCATTAAATTCTTTTAACATGGTTTTTTTAGATTAGATAATAGAAACATTGAAATGTAAGCACGGTGTTTCGAAAATGAAGGTAGGAACTACATAGGCATTAATTTTGATGTTATCTGACCAGAGCTATTCAAAACGAAACAATATTTTCTCGTAAATGTCATAACTTTGGAAATTATGACTTTATCGTAAAGTTTTTTTTTTAATATAACTACTTAAATTTTTTTTTCTACAACTTATTAGTCAAATTCGTGTTCCATTGTTAATTGCTTACGCGTTTACCATTAAAAAACTATAAAAAACTCGAATATAAAAATTAATAAACGACCCAATTAGGTTTTTTTTTTGTTTTTCCTTTTTAGACTATTTTATTATAACGTTACAGCAAACTGTGTATTATTAAAGTGACATATTATTGATAGTATAATTATTAAAATAATACACATTTAATGGTCAGCAGGTGTAACGTAATTCGGTTAATGACTTTAATAACTTTTTATAACTTGTATCAGTAATTTTATTTGTATTATATAAATATGATTGATTATTATTTACTTTTGAGATAATCATGTTAACAATTGCCAATAAAACATTTTAACTTTTTACGTAGTACGAACGTGTAAGTAATAAAATATGAGTATTAATAGAATGTTGTTGATGAGTTCAATTCCCGGGTCGAGCAAAGCATTACTGGGTTATTTTTTTAAATCTCAATAGTAGCACGGTGTCTGGAATTGTACCCGGTATATGGCAATAGGTTCATACTATCTATTACCTGAGACGTATAACACACATAAATAGTGAAAAGTGGATAGGTGAGGAAGTGCCACATTGTAGTGGCATTAAGTGCCGAAATGTGCACCTCTGCCTACCCCTTCGGGGATAAAAAGCGTGTTGTTATGATAAAGTATAACATGTTTTATCATTTTAACATTTTTTAATACTAGAATTAAAAAAAATAACTCACGATCGAAGATCGACTTCTAACAAAGCTTTCTTGGAAATAATTATTATTGTATTAAAACTCGAGTAAATCCGGATATAACACCCTTGTATAATTATATCGCGTTTTGAATAAATGTATCGAGTTAACCAACGAGTCGGCAGTGCGGTATCGATTTAAAACATATCGTTATATATCGCGATAACAATATAACTAGCGCTTAGAAAAACTTCAACCGTATTTTGTTAAGGCTGTGGTACACGCAATGAATTAAAACGTAATAATAATATTTATTTTATGATTATTTTTGTTTAAAACACCTATCTAGGTACATACTATGCTATCATTACTAAATATTTTCCTTATTTTGTCAGAAGTATTTTGTAATACTGATCGACTGCCTCGTTGGTCGAGTGGTCGTATCTGTGACTGCCGGGCAAGGGGTCTCGTGTTCGATCAGTCGGGCAAAGTATTACTGGGTTTTAAAAAAATTCTCAGTATTAGTACGGAGTCTGAAATTGTGCCCGGTATATGGCAATAGGTTACATGGGAATTCATGGGACTCATAACATAAATAGTGAAAAGTGGATGTTACATTGTACAGTGACATGATGTGCACCTCTGCCAACCCCTTCGGGGATAGAAGGCGTGATGTTATGTTATATACATATCTTGTAATAAAATCTTAGAAAAAAAAAAGAATATAATTAACATAAACAAAAAAACAGTTATGACTATTTTTTGTTGTGGTTTAAGATCTTTTAATAATGCATGTACGATTATTTGGAAAAAAACGAGTAGGTATGATTTTTATTATATAGTACATAAATATTATCGACCTTAAAGTTTTTTCAAAAACTGACGTGCTGACAGCTTGCATGAATAAATTTCGATTTTTTTTTGCTACAGCTAAATATCACAATAAGTCAAAGTCAAAGTCAAAATCATTTATTTCAATTAGGCCAGAATGGCACTTTTGAACGTCAACAAAAAAAAAATAATAAGAAGTGAAGCCATTTGCTCATTCCAAGGTGTTGATTCCTATGGAGAAGAACGAGCACGAAACTCCAAAGGCTACTTACTCTTTTTCAAAATTTGATTGAAAAAGAATTTACTAGTTATAATAGATTAAGTATAACACCCTGTTACATACAGATCACAAAAATCTTTCAACCATACCTAAATACAATTTCTAATAACAATAATCATTTTCATCACTTAATTTTGTAGCCTCATAACTAATTATTAAAAAATAATCCTTCCGGATTTAGATACCTACACAAAAAACTCACGCATTCAACCTTAAAAAAGTAAATCATGATTGTCTAACCACATCCTAACTCATTGCGTGCTAACACAGTTAGCTATCAGATAACAACCAACGGTTAACATCAACCACGTTCACAATTAACCACTCAGATCTCACTGATAACTGGTTGAATGCAAATTAAACGGTTTAAAAAAAACGTAGAATTTTTGTGAGCGTTCATTTTGGTTCCGTGTGAAGTCACCTTAATAACAAAATTAGTTTTTTTTTTTAATTTTCTATCTATGGATGGGTTTTTGGAAATTATATGTTAAGTATGATCATTTTGTATTCGAAAAAAATATCATTTTTGTAGTTCTTACAGTATTCTTTTAATTGCAATGAAAAATAAGACTAATATTGAATTTTTACTTGCTACGGATTTTTGTATCGTACGTATAAATGTGTAGGTACACAGTTATGTAATTTAAAAAAATAATTAATTATTTGTTTCAGGTCACAAAACCTTCATGGTGAACAAAAATACTGGCTGGGAATAAAAAAAACAACAATGCTAGAAGGTTCGTTAGTAACAACCACAGACTATCACTTTTTTTTTCGACCATAAATACAAGCCACAGGACTTCACGAATTAGAATACCAAAGAAGCGTATCGTAAAAAAGACATAAAAATTAAATAATTATGTCATTATAGACCCATTGTAATTTCGTATCTCATTACTGTTAGAAGTTAAAATTAAGAAGTCGATTTCTGATTGTTATCTGTATAATTAATTGGGGTTTTAAGCGTTCAAATAAAACATAGTTTTATGGTGAATTTTATGGCAAATAGTAGGACATTTATGTTGCTTTAAATTAGAGGTTTTGTTCATTGTAATTAGGTGCTTTTTCGGTTTTTTTTTTATTGAACCTGAGTGTCAACTTTTATGAGTAAGAAAAAATTAAAATAAGTTTTTATCCTGACGGAATGGTTACTTTGTACCTACTACTATTTATACGGATAAATAAAATTGGAGTGTCTTTTTGTAATATTAAAATAACCGCATTTTACTACATGCATATGAATATACATACGATATACAATACCAAAATTACATTTTTTTTACAACTTTTTGTCTGTGTGTTTGTACTGGCTGATCTCTGGAATGGCTGGACCAATTTTTGTTGGCAGGTAGCTGATGTACTACGGAGTTACATAGGCTACTTTAAGTTTGGAAAATTGAAACAAAAAAGGAGTTATATGTTCTCAAATTAATATTCTACGCGGAGGAAGTCGATAGTTCATAATATGATTTTTAAGCTTACCTAATAATATACGCTAAAACAAACAGAAAATATGATTCAAAATAAAATAATTTAATTATGACGACACTCCACCTTGTAAACTGAAACCACAAATCATATAAAATTCAATTACAACAGAACCACTTTCAATTAAAAATTATAAACACCTTAGTGTTATAAATAAATTACAATAAATTAAAAACAATAATTCTAACAACATATTCGAAATTCCACCCACTGCACCCAAAATATTAGATTAATAAAAATATGCAAATTAACAAGATATTTAGAACTTAATAATTGTGATATTAACACTGTTGCACCCTTACTCATAATCGGTGTCTTAACAAACTGTTAATGGGGTAGAATTCGACCCATAACTTAAAGGGAATAAAAACATCTTGTATTATCAATGGTATAATTTTGTTTTTTTATGGGATAAACGGTAACGGTAAACGAGCAGACGGATCACCTAATGGTAAGAAATCGGCGTCGCCCATGGACACCCGCAACACCAGATGCGTTACAAGTGCGTTACCGGCCTTTTTAGGTTTAGGAATTTGTGGATTGTTGGGGATTCAGGGATTTGGGAGATTGGGGAAGGCGAGGAGGTAATTGGGCCTCCGGTAACCTCACTCACACGACGAAACGCAACGCAAGCGTTGTTTCACGTCGGTTTTCTGTGAGGCCGTGGTATCGCTCCCGTCGAGCCGGCCCATTCGTGCCGAAGTATGGCTCTCCTACACTTAAGTATTATGTAAGATATGTCAATTATTAATATATAAGTTAAGATAGACTTTACCGGCCTGGACCAAGCGTGGTGATTAATGCTCAAATCTTTTGCCTCTGAGAAGAGGTCTTTGCTCAGCAATGGGCATTTATAGACTGATGATAATGATGTTGTAATATTTAGGTTATATAGGTAGATCTGTACAAAAAAATGATCGATGTTTTTGATGGCAACTTATTAACTTCAAACACGGAGACATCTCCAGTGTGACTATTGGTTTTGTTTCTTAGTGTTTTATTAAATTAACCTTACTGCAGCTTCCTATTCGCCATCGTAAATTTTTAGAAGAATTTTCGAGTAGGTCTTAATCGTTTGTAAACGTTTTAGAGAGGTAAGATTTTAGAAGGTATGCCTCTTTTCCTAGTCTTAATTCTAAAAATGATTTTACAAGAAGTACAATCAATTTATTCTCTTCATGAAGTGACTTTCTGTCAACCAATAAACCATAACATCATACATATCTAGACATTAACTATTATATGAAACTAGCTGAAGTAAATAAAATATTGGATAAAATCTAAAGTCTTATGTTCGTCTTCTGGTCCTAACCTACCAATTTTAGACCAAATCTATTTAGACGTTTTTGAGGTATAAGTAGTGTAACTAACACGACTGTCTTTAACATACAAGGTGTAGTTTTGAAACCGTGGCATTTCTCGGGGGCATGTCACAGAAGTCATAAAGGTTCAATGTAAAAGAAATTTTCGGGGAAATAGTTAAAAATACGGCTATAATAAATCATTTAAGTTCGACAGTATTTCAGAATAAGCGACAACAATGTTCTTAACTCTTATTGGAGTTTTATGGAATTAGGAATAATATCAATTACGTGTTTGGGTTTGTGTGAGTTAAGCCGCGTTATAAAACTAGTTACAAGACGGCGGCGTGTAGTTCGCACTTATGGATTTTCGTAATTTACAGAATAATTAAAAATATTTGTGTATAATTTTTTTTATTGATTCGGACTCAGAATCGATATCCTAGTTACCTCCTAGAAAATGACGCGGCTTTAACACAACATCTTGTATATAGATTACCCACTAAACAGTAAACGGACCATATTAAAATTAAAACAATCCTCCGGAAGTAATAAAAAGTTCACAGACTGACAAAATACTCTAAATCCTTAATTAAAAATACTGCATTAACTGTCATCGTAAATAAAAATTTAAAAAATATTACCAAGTTATAAGACTAAGTATAATAACCTGATATTATTATTATTCGGTTACCGAGTCGTTAACAAAATGGAATATTTAAGGGTCAAAATGACCACCAAGTTAACGCTTTCACTGTTCATATATTAACATAATAAGTGGGTATAAATATTTATACACAAAAACTATGTAATTAATGGTCACTGCAATCCTGTTTTTGGGTTAAAATGTACGGAATTACTTACGATTGTTATCTGTTAATCGATGATCTTTTTAGGGTTCCGTTGGGGTGGTGATTAAACGGCTTTTGTTGAGGGTCTCTAGTTGATAAGTTAGGTGAATTGATTTAGTTTAGAAAGTATTGTTGGTTTAGTGAAGTAATATTATGCTACGAAATAAGTTATAGTAAGCCGTCATTGTCCCGTCTATAGACCAGCACAAAAAATTAAAGACAATAATTTTCGTGAAATCTGTGGTCAAAGAAGCAAGCTGCCTGTGTTTTCGGTAACCGATAGGTGCTACACACTATTGGGGCCTTAGTACTCGTTTCACCTTAAAAGTAAACTAAACGAGACCGCGTTCCGCGCTTTGATTGGCCGGATCCAATGAAGCAACCAATCATAGTGACGAACTCGATCTCGTATCGGTTACTTTAAAAAATAAAACAAAATCATACTGTCTCTCTCAATCTAATTAAACTGTTTACAGCTACATGTTTGTTTTCAGTTATACATAAAAATAATAAATAGACACCTTTTTCAGTTGATTTTTCCAAAGCTTGTCCAAGAGGGGAACGTGCTTGGTGAACCAGTTTCACAATACATAATTATATAGGTATGCAGCACCTAACAAGAATACAACCCTCAAAATACCAGCAGTATATAAAACCATATTTTAAACATGTTAATGGCCAATATACGTACGTACTTACACATAATTTTATTGTTAACAAAATTACAACCTTTAACGAGTATTCGGAAATGCATATCATAATCATAATTACATTTAATTAGATGTAAGGGACCCTTCATCATTTTTGGGTACTTAAAATTTACCTTAATACGATGTTTTATTCAGTTATTTTTTGTTAACTATCCCCGATAACTATTAAAGTTGGTGTTAAGATAAAAAAAGTTAATTCATTAGGCTTTAAGATAATTGTGTTACGGTGGATAGGTTTTTTGAGCGTAAACAAAGACATTCTTTTTCGTTTGTCAGCCATTTTATGAGCTGTCAGTTATTTATGGTCAGTTTTTTTAAGAAACGAATGTCAACGCATTACTACAAATTACACGAAAATGCGAAGAATACTTTGACTAATTCGTTAAAATTACGTTTAACTTAAAATCGTGTTATTCATGCATAAAAATGCCTGGTATATGTAACAATTTCTTAGAGATAAAGAAAAATATTTTGACATTTGTTAAAAGGTGTTCCAAATGGCCTGTTTTAAATAGCTGGCTAGATATCTAAAGTCTTTTCTGAGCCGTCATTTAGCATGGAAGCGCCATTTGCAAGATGTCCCAGCATTTTATTAGATCGCTTTGCCGACACAAACGGATAAAAATAATCCTTTTAAAGTTCTTTGTGGTTAGATATTTAAAAATTTAATTCAAAGGTGTTGAGTACACAAAGAAACACCCGCTCACAGTTTACTGGAATTTCATGCGCATATTTAAACCGCATTCACTATTGGACAACTATTTTAAATTATAATACTGGTGATATTTTTAGATATCAATCGTAGGAAGTATTTTTACTTGGCTCTTCATACTTAGGTATGATAGATTTATTCCTGAGTCCTTACCAGATTCGACTGAATGGTATTTTACATAGATCGACTATTTTTGCATTTCACAAGCCCCTAAGGACCGATTTTTCAATCATTAGTTAATTCTTAATTGTGGAATAAAATTGACATTTGACAGTTTTCAGTATGGAAGTATTGTCAAATATTAAAAGGCATTCCTCAGTTAAGATTTATCTGAGCATTGAAAAATTGGCCCTAAGAGTACATTTTTCGACCGCTACATTTTTGAATATATAAGGTGTAACAAAAATAGTGCACAATATTTTAGTAGGTCAATTAGTATGTGATAAACATCATTTTTTTATGAAAATATTTTATAAAAACTTATCAATTATTTTTAATAATTCAATTATTCATTTATTATTTTCATTGCTTTTTATGCCATCCTGCAATATGTACCTATTCCTATGTACCTATTCAAAAAGATCGGTCGTTGACCCGTAAGATAAACGTCCGCGCGCATCCATACGGCTGGCGTTATGCGTAAAAACACAACAACAATTTTGCAAATGTGATGCTAAATTTAATTAAACATGTTGTTGTTTACATTTTTTTTTAGGTAAACATAATCCTTATCATGTACTTTATCACCTGTTAAAATATTGTGCACTATTTTTGTTAGACCTTATATAGCTGATAGACTAATAATATTGTTCAAATTATTTAGGCTTCTGATTACCAAAACCAATAATGAAGACTAAAATTCATAGCAAAAATCCTATGAATAACTAAACATAAATTAAGGATACCCAATAAATATTTAAGCATAAGTTAATCTAAATCGATAGAGCTCAATTACAAAAAAAAAAAACAATAATTAAAAACCTGATCGTCATGAAAGTAACCTTTTTGAAAATGGCTGACAATTAGGGTTATATAGATAAGTGGGGACATGCCAAAACACGGTGCTAATGACTGCATGACGGTTGACAAACTGACAGCCTAATGTGACATTGTAATTGTTGTAGAAATGTCACTAAAGGCCTGAATACACTGGCGGGTGAATGATGACGAAAAATGACTTGGAATTTTTAAAGAACAAAAAATGAGACGATGTTTTTTGGGCTTTTAACTAGTTTGTGAATTTGTAAGGTCAGCTGTAGTCATTCATAGTGTACTTATTTATAGCCTCACGGAACAATTCTTTGTATGATCCACAGATTGTTGTTCCGGGTCTGGGTGTGATGTGTATGTGAACTTGTATGTTTGTAAACGCACCCATGATACAGGAGAAAATCCTAGTGTGGTGCAAAGTTTATTAAAAAAGCCTAGAGATGTGTAAATTTACATTTGTTAATATTTGTCAGTTTTAGATTCTTACATTCGAATGTTGAAAGGCTAGTTACTTTTTAAGTTGTAGGTACTTAAATAACGTGCCATCGCTGTCATTTTAAAAAGATTGTGCAGAGAATTATACTTAAGCGTTGTTTTGTTAAAAATAGCTTCAGCAAAAAAATGAACAATTTAATAAATTTCGAAGCAATTTTTCTTTGAATTCTATCAAAATCTATGGATGGATTAAATGTGCCTATGTTGTCTCTATTGCAGCAATTCTATTAATATATTTTCTCTAAACCAATGTGTTCTGTTAAATAAAGTCGTTTACAAAGTTCGCTAGAATATTTTATATTAGGTACAGTGTAGCACAAGTCTTAGGCAGGTTTTCAATTACAGAAATGAGTATAAGTGTTATCTCAATTATGAGTCTGAGTGGCGGTTATCAAGTCACATCAATGAATATTACGAGAATTAACCACTTAAGACAATAATTACCTACGAGAGACCATCAAACATAATTGACAGAAACTTCAAAAAAGAAAAAATATAAACTAAGCCTTCCAATTATTTTTCTTAAAAAATTATGTGACGAAAAAGTAAAAAGGAAACTTTCTTTTTTTTTAAACCAGCAACATTGTTATATCAATTGCGTCGTGTAACGTGACGTAATTACTGTAATAAATTTAAAAACAATATGGCGACCCAAGATGGCCGCGATAGCCAATGTTCGCAATAAACTGTTTTTAATGAGTCCAAAGCACCTGCACGAATTTGTCCACGAAACATCACTTTAACATTTATTATTATGAAAGTAGAATTTTCGTGAGTTTGTTAGTAAGAATTTTCGTGTAATATTTTTTCACATTAACCCCTTGATTTGGAGGTTATAAATCAAACTAAAGTATTTCCCTGCTATATCGTTTTGGTCGTTAATTATAATTTTTTTATGGCATAAGCTGGTAAACGAGCAGACGGATCACCTGATGGTAAGCAATCGGCGTCGCCCATGGACACCTGAAACACCAGAGGCGTTACAAGTGCGTTGCCGACCTTTTGGGGATTAAGAGTTTGAGAATCTTTGGGGATTCAGGAATTGGGGAGATTGGGGAACGGGAGGATAATTAGGCCTCCGGTAACCTCATTCACACGACGAAACACAACGCAAGCGTTGCTTCACGTCAGTTTTCTGTGAGGCCGTGGTATCACTCCGGTCGAGCCGGCCCATTCGTGCCGAAGCATGGCTCTCCCGTTCTTAATAAAATTAATTAAAGAAATACTTAATCCAGTTTTTTATAATTATCAATATTAGTGATCTCACTAATATTCATAACTCGCCTGGTGGCGAGGGTTGATGTGACCAACGATAGAGTACACGTAGGTATAAACAACTTATTTCAACTACCCTTCTGCAAATACAGACTTTGACAAACACAACAAAAGAAATAATAATATATTATTAGGACTCATTACTACACCAAAACATTTAAAACCTCGTCTTATTAAAGAGACCATCAAAATTTAAATCGCATTGAACTTCTCCAGTTCACGCCGAAGAAACAAAAAAAAAAAAAGAAAAAAAAAACGAAGAATCTTGAGGAGATTTCTTTAGGGAACTCTAAAAACAAGGAGGTACTAAGAAAATCGAATTAATTAGCGCATCAACAGGTGGCGAAGATAACTTAGTTACAACTTGAATCGTCTTTAATAATTCCATTTCTTCTCGTCCGTAGAGTTTTAACGATTTTGCTAAGTGAGCTACTGAATTTCAGATGCGGTATTATTTGATACTTAGTTAATATTTGTTTTTTTTTCGTTGCAGATCTAGTGGCTTGGAAATGAAGACTTGATGGATATTATATGAAGTTGTATGGTGTCAGGGAGCAATGACAATTGGTCCTAATTGTAAATAATCAAGAAGAGGTATGTAATAGGTCATAGTGACATGACCAATTATATCGAAAAGAGGTTTAAAAGTAAATAAAGCGATGGATTTTGGTTTTGGCTAGTTGTTTATGGGTGACCCATTCAAGGAACTAACACAAAATTAGCACTAAAATAGTACTTAAGTACTTACTCAACGAAAGTAAGTCTTAAGTTGGGGTATATAGAGAATCACTTATTATACATTTTTTTCAACCAAGTATTGTTTGCTTTTCTAGCACACGAATGAAAAATAAAAGTAATTCTGCTTACCAAATATCTAAACCAAGCTATACCTATTTCTTAGGGTCGATTTTTCAATCAGCAGTTAATATTTGACCATAGAATAAAATTGTCATTTGACAGATTTTAATATCTATGGAAGAATAGCCTATTGTTAAAAGTTATTCCACAGTTAAAATTTATCTGTCGTGGAAAAATCGGCCCCAAATATTCTGTAAATAGTTATCTATTACAACTAAACAAAAAAAAATTACCACCTCCATTCCTTCTCGACTCCTAACCAAATTGAAACACCCCACCATTTCTTTTTGTCTCAATTTACTTAAAGATTGCATTTGTGTCTGTAATTAACGATTAGTCTGTTCCTTATTATCGTTAATAACGATTGTCTCGATTGTGCAAGCGACAGAACAACGGTGGTGATTTAAAACAATTTGCGTGTTTGTTTTATTGTTGAACTTCTTGTTCATTTTCGTTTCACACCTTGCCTTTGATTAACTGTGGAGTTTTGTTTCGTATGTTTTTTTTATTGGGACTTTTGCTGGTTTATTTTTTAAACAAAACTTTACTGTAGGTTCTTCTCTTGTAACGTGGGTGCATAAACAAATAGGTACTTGCCAACTAGTCAAATTCAATACTTTTTTCGAACTGTCAAAAACGACAGTTTTCTATGAATTTTGTTCGAGATTGTGTATTGTGACGTCACGTTTTTTTAGCGTCGAACAGCATACTTGGTTCCTAAATAATTGCAGTAAAATACTAAAATTAAGTGGTTCATAAAATCAATTATTTAAAGTGTGATTATTTTTTTATTTTTTATTGTATTGAATAGTCGAAATAATTCATTTTTGATTACGAAAAGTACCCAATTTGACATATACATCACTCTCTGATTCGGTATGACTAAGGTTTAGTAGTACTACAGAAAGTAGTTATTGTATTCGTTAGTGTTAAATTTAACAGTAACTGTAACAGTTACAGAAAAATGAATGTGTTGCACTAGCAAATTCATTACTTGTGTCAAAGTTAAAAGTATTGCAAGTCGAATGAGGTGTGATGAACCCCAAATTTGATGTGGGTAATATTTTTAAACATGGAAATACTAAAGATAGTCGTAAAAAATATTGAAAATTTTAGTCCACTACTTTCAGTGGACTAAAATTTATGATGTATTTATTAATATAATTATATCAACCGACACTCCCTAGTTTTTTATCCCCAAATAAGCTAGGTGCCTTTTGAAAGTTCCCAAAAAAAAAATAGTAACAAAATTTTTCAGTTAATGCCTTACTCTTTGCATACATTATCCTGAATACTGTAACAAATATAAAATCTAGAACAACTTGAAACCTACATTATGTTCTACCAAGTATATAACTTTATATATAAGTATTATATACAACTTACACCCTTCGTAGCTATAATAAAAGTGATTTATGAGACATGTTCTTAACGTTTACAGGCCGGGCCGTTTCCGGTGGCGGTCGGCGCAACTTCCGGTCCCAAGTTTCCGTCGTTTTCCTCTGAAGGAAAAAAGGTTCTATGTACAGTAAGAAGGTATTATATAATGTTGTTATATTTTGGTGTAAATTTATTTTATTTATTGGTAAAAACGAATGTGGGAATAAATTGATGTTAAATACCTTTTGTTTGTTTTTTTTTTATCTTGTGTGGTTTAATCTGTGTATGAAGTGTCCCATATCATCATGGTCTGTAGTTTATTTATATGAGCTATATTTACTGTATCATATAGTAATATAGTCATGTTTCCTCCTCCTCCACTCCTGTGAACTTTTTGCATTATGCATTACGGTGTTCCACCGAGAAATATAAATACGAGGATTGGTAGGTAAGTACCCATATTTATACACAGTAAGGCACATAATCGAACATGTATGTATAGGCATAGGCAATAGTATTTCCAAAAAACATGAGAAATACGAAAAAATCTTAGAACTAAACGAGGAAACATTCCTAGAACAAAAATATGATATTATCTTAAAGAAAAAAACAGTAAGTATACCTATTTAACAAAACATTGCATTAGAAGCGGGTTGATATTAATGGCACGCATTCGAACAATTTATTGCTACCAAGAATACGGGGGATTTACCCCTAAGACCTGCGGGGGGTAAGTCTTAAGGGGTATGCACCCGTCATGGGGTAAATATGTCGTGAAAGACACATTTGTTTTAGATTAAACGTTTATTGACCTCCTCGGTGTATTTTTTTTTGTTTTTGCGACGTATTAGCTTGTGTTTTTTTGTTGAATAAATAGGTTTGTCGACCATTTTTTTTAGTTTTTTAATTAAGTCAAGTAAATGATTTTCTTATAAAATGTTCACTGCCTTTTTGTTGTATAGTTTGAGTGGAGTATACGAAATTATTTTCTTATAAGAAACGTTTATTTAAAGAGTTCTTGAATTTTAGTTCATGTTGCTTTACACTCTTTTTTTACAAATATCTTAAACTTTAAAGTAGATATAGTAATTCCGAATATAATCAGAAATCTTACATTAGCACTGTGAAGAAGAAGACGATAATTATATTTAAAACTACTACTTAATTTAACTAAATACTCAATTGTTTAACAAATACATCTGAAACATCTTCATCAAAAGAAAAATACAGTTTCAATACAATACATACATAGGAAAAACGAAGACAATATAAAAAGTAAAAAAAGATAAAAAGGAAAACATAAAGGATACAGTATTGGTATTAATGTGGAAGACGTCTCAATGACGGTATAAGGAGGGTGTTGGTAGATATCTGTGTCTGCTGATACCCCTGGTGGTAAGGGTAAATGTATAATATAAGCTATACTGGAGATAGTTTTCAAAGTTTTTAAATGTATGAGCCAGCTCCAGCTTGGTAGAGTACCGATAACTGCACGGTAGCTGATGGTTAATTTGAAGAGCTGAAATCAAAGTCAAAGTATTTATTTCAATTAAACCATAGTTTGGTACTTTTGAAACGTCAACAAATACAAAATAAATAATAGTCTGTCAGTCAGTCCGTCAGTGAAACTAGGTGAAGCTAGGACAAAAATGTAGATTCGAATGGAGAAGAACGAGCAAGAAACTCCATTCGTTACTCTTTTTAAAAAAGTATGTTCTACAATGATGAAGATTGAGGTCAGCAGCTCAGTAGCATACTAATTACAGAATATGCCTGTGTCCTGCAGAGAATGACAACACGGACAAGGAATGTATAAAATCGTACCAGGTGTTCAATTTGCAGCTAAATTTCATGCACAGTTCCATAAAGTCAATGTCAATATCAAAGCATTTATTCCAATTTATACCATGAACTGGTATTGAAACGTCCAACAAATAAAGAAATAAATAATAGTATATCAGTAAAGCTAGGTGCTTGTTCCAAAATGTAGACGCGAATGAAGAAGAACGAGCAAGAAACTCCATTGGTTGTTTTTATTTACACAGGTAAGAATGTTTATAATTGAAGCCCCAGGTAACCATTGCAATGGTTTGACTGTAGGGTATAGGTAGAAGAGTATGTTTCATTCCAGAACTAAAAAGGGAGGGAGATTGTTAATCCTAAGTATGAATTGGTCTAATTAGTCCGTAAGTCAGATAATGAGAAAATATTAGACACGTATTTTTTTATTTCGTCGTATAATAAAACAATACTTAAATAAAACGAATCAAAGTTTAGGAGTGGAGGCCAAAACGTCATTTCTACTTATAAAATGTACATAGAAGTGACGTCACAAGACATTTCAAATCAATATATCGTCGAAAGTATTCATTTCTGTAAGAAAATAAAAAATAGGTGTCTAATGATTTAAAATACTCTGCCAGACTGTTATACAGGTTTATTACCAAAATGAACACAGTACACTATATCTAGCTTTTAGCTTAACTCACTCACAAAATCAGATAAAAATTAGGCGAGTTTTCGTCGGGCCTAGAGGCAGAACCCACTCACTTCTTTCCCCGAAGTATAAAATGTTCTCCCTTGCCAAACATCTTACCGGCGCAATGCTTTGAGATAGGTGTGGTAGTATGGGGATCAGTGGGGTCCTGCCATAACTATCCATGATGATTATGATTTCGTCACTAGCGCAAGCATCTTAACACTTTGAGTACCGTCATTAAAGACACAATTAAAGAACAATAGGTTGCGGTCACTGGTGTCCTTGTATTGTTTGACAGTTTAAAAGTGCAAAATAGATACTCATTTCTTTAAAAAAAAAAATGATGTAACGAATAACCATAAACTTCGAGTTCGTATAATTCTGCCAGCCTCTATAATACCACAGATGTTAGATATAATAAAACCGCATCGCCTTTTTTTTCCATCGCCTAGCATATCTTTAACTCTGCAACTACCCTTAAAAACGAATGTTTTTCCCGTCCTTTGTTCTCTAGAAGATACAGTGCCGTTCACACATGAGTGGACCTCTTTTTAATACCGGCCCGAGTTTCCTTTGCTGAAGGAATAACGTTCTTGTTAAGGGTAGATAGATAGTAAAAACGTGAAGAATTTAAACTTCAATGTTCATGTTAAAGAAAATGTATGGTGAACTTTTTTTTTGTGTTTTTTTAAGCTATTATGTAACGTAGTTGGGTGCTTATAGAGTATATATAGTTATAGTAAATCGAATTTAAATAAATTGATGTCTATGTGGTTGTTGTTGGGATAAACCGGTAAACGAGCAGACGGATCGCCTGATGGTAAGCAATCGGCGCCGCTCATGGACATTTGAAACACAACAGGC